CGAACAGATCCGCCGCCAGTTCACCTCCTCCCGGCATCGATCTTCATCATCGAGCAGCCCTCATCCTCCTCTCCTCAGATCAAAGTTGTGCCGAACAGAGAAGTCAGATCTGGGTTGCTTTGAATCAGATCTGACCCATTTCATTTTGGTTTGAGTCAGGAGGTTTCGTTTTCTCTTGACTCAATATTTTCTATTAATCTCATTTATTTAGCTAGTTGCGTGAGTATATCACCTCTAAACTATTATCTTATGTTCACTGCTTAGAGTATAATTTGTGAGTTGAGAGAAACTAAACATGTGACTATTACAATTTTGATATTGATCTTAAAACTTGTGCAATGATAATTAATCCGGCAATTGAATTGTTTGAGATTGGAATTGTTCATGATTATCGTTGCAAATCTTATTAAAATCCATCTGTTACATTAATCATTTTAAGTTAATTTCCTACCGAATATCATGAATTTTGGCGAAGCGGTGCATTGTTCGAATTAAATCGCTGATTCCGATAGACCCCCTACCCTGTCTCGCATCATTTTTGGTATCTGGTTCTAGGTTAGGATTTTTTTTAGATTAGTTTAATTGAGTCTTTTATTTGATTTATAAAAAAATTACCATTCATTTCACTTAGCTGTTAGTGCATCACATTCATCTCATCTAGTTGTTAGTGCATGCCACTCGCACATGTCTACCAAATCGATTAGAAGAGTCAAGTGACTAGTAAGTCTAGTATGTCAGACAGCACTGATCCCGAACTCCTTAATAAATTCGATGAACTAAAAAGACAAATAGGTGTTATAGCCCAGAGCTTAACAAATTTCCAGAATGAATCCAACAAAAGGTTTGCTAGGCTCGAAGAAGCACGTGCTGCAACTCCGTCGCCACAAGGTCAAGGCTATAGATACTTACCGCAAGGTCATGGTTACGTCATTCATCAAACCCCACCTCAACCAGTGTCTGATCCACCAACCTTTAACGGTAAGCTCGGCCCACAAACTTTCTTGAATTGGTTGAAGAACATGGATCAACACTTTGACTGGTACGCCATGATGGAACCACGAAAAGTCAAATTTGTGACAATGAAACTCACCGGACCAGCCTGCCAATATTGGTCCAAACTCGAAACGTTAAGGTATATTAGAAGTGAGTTACCAATTTTAACTTGGCAAGAAATGACCGACGAACTAAAAAAGGAATACCTTCCACTAGTTAAAATTAATATGTCGCTTATGACAGAATCAAAATCTATTCTTGAGGAAACCATTAATCAAGCTGTAGATTTGATAGAAATTAACTCTGCGAAGGAATTCCAGGATAGTAGAATTGACAAATCATGCATTTCCATTTCTTCTGAAACTACCCCTCTGATCTCAAAGTCCATTGATGTTATTCCTGAAGTTGTTTTTGAAATTGAAACTCCAACTCCTCCTGAACCAACTCCAGTGATTAAAAACGTTGTTGACGTTCTCCACGAAGTCCTCCATGACCAACATGTTCCTGAATTAGTTCCTAAAGCGAATCACCCAGATATCTGTATGGAAGTTGAATACCCAACTGAGCTTAGTAAAACAACTGCCATATTACATGTCAAACCCCAATGCATTGTCCTGATAGTCACTCACACATACACTGATCCATTTTGGGAATATATAGTGATTAGGAATATAAGTTTGAACACGAGTGTTTTCATTCTCTTTCATGTTAAACACACAAAAACACTCCTCCGTCATACATTTGCTTGCATGTTCCTCACTATCATCATTAGGACAGGAAAATTTTTATGCATTTTAACAAAGGAACACCTAATTATTCCATTTGATAGAGGACGTCATGCATGTTAGATACTTCGTTGAGTTTACATCTGCCTTTGATTACATTGTTCGAGTCTGCATTTCATACATAATCATTTGAGTTGACCCACGTCATTTTTTTATTTGCATTGATCATATATTTGGGAATCAGTGATCTAACTTGAATAAATACATTGTTAACTGAAATGAATGATATGGAGTCAGGATATAATTTAAAACTGTTAATGCTGCTATTTTAGATGGTTTGGCCTTGTCCAATATAGTTTATTTATAGCTATTTAAGATTTGACATTATATTTATGAATTTTTCCAACTCTTGAACTAATTAATGGCAACATTTGTAATATTAATTTGGTTATAGTTCTATTCTCAATATTGATTGATTAAGCAGTTCACAAATGTTATTTGCAGTCCACTGATATAAACCTGACCCTAGCCTATTATTTATGAGAGTTCTTTCACTTTACTCCACTTCTATATATTCACACATACAGCAGTAAATTTTAACAATATTTTAGATGGTGAATTTATAATGCAATCTAGCTAATGATTTGAGATGCAGGAAAGTAACTGACGACAGATTAAGATACAGGCAGATTATATTGAAGATTACAAGCTTCTGCAGCTAACTCGATGGAGTCGAGTTTTCTCCCACCCAGGGAGAATGATGAGGACAAGAATGGCATTTCTATATTTGTATTTGAATTTTAATTATTTTAGTTTTTAGTAGTCAATTTCGAATTTTGAATTTTGAATTTCGAATTTTGAATTTTGAATTTTGAATTTTGAATTTAAAATTTTGAATTTTATTGTAGATTTGAATTTCAAATTAGGTTTAGATTTGGTAGTGATTGATTATGAGAGATTTAAGTGATTATGAGAGATTTGTGAGATTTAGGAAATCTTCTAATTCTGTATTTTTTTCTCTTCTATTCAAACGCTCTTGTAATCAAAGTGAATAATTGAAATGAAAAAATGGAAAATTGAAATGAAATTGTGTTAGCTTATTTGGTGCGAAACCATGGGTGTGAAACCCTAAGCCTATACTTTTTCTTCTCTCTCTTTTCTCAGCCGTTAGATCTTCTCTATTCTCCTCCACGTAAAACAACTCAATCTCCAAGCCCTAGTCGACGAGATCTCCCTCTCTCTCGTTCATCTCTCCCATAGACCAAGCTCCACTGCCAGAATCAAAACCCCACCGACAAAACCTCTCCGACAAAACCCCTCATCCTTCCCCTCCATCTGTCGTTTCTCCTTCACCTTTGACCGCTTGCAGAGATCCCTGAGCTCCACCACCCTACGTCAGCCGCCGCTCGGGTCTCGCCTCCCCAACAGCCGTCGCATGTCTCCCTTCACCCAACCATGGTCGTCGCCGGATCCCCTCTGCTCGCAGAGATAACCCAATAGATTTCCCCTTGCTCACCCCTATCATCAGTCCACTATAACCTTCGTCGCTCGTCCACAGCCTTACCCCCGACCGACCGGCGTCCTGCCACACCGCCGACAACCCCGACCGTGTCATCGTTCACCTTTGTCATCGAACAAGCCTGCCACCCGCTCGTGGCCTCACGTCGTTGAACAGATCCGCCGCCAGTTCGCCTCCTCCTGGCATCGATCTTTGTCATCAAGCAGCCCTCATCCTCCTCTCCTAAGATCGAAGTTGTGCCGAACAGAGAAGTCAGATCTGGGGTGCTTTGAATCAGATCCGACCCATTTCATTTTGGTTTGAGTCCGAATGTTTCATTTTCTCTTGACTCAGTATTTTCTATTAATCTCATTTATTTAGCTAATTGCATGAGTATATCACCTCTAAACTATTATCTTATATTCACTGCTTAGAGTATAATTTGTGAGTTGAGAGAAACTAAACATGTGACTGTTGCAATTTTGATATTGATGTTAGAACTTGTGCAATGATAATTAATCCGACAATTGAATTGTTTGAGATTGGAATTATTCATGATTATCGTTGCAAATCTTATTAAAATCCATCTGTCACATTAATCATTTTAAGTTAATTTCCTGCCGAAGATCATGAATTTTAGCGAAACGGTGCATTGTTCGAATTAAATCGCTGATTCCGATAGACCCCCTACCCCGTTTCGCATCACATATCTACCACATAATTGGCACACTCAAAACCTAATTACATCCACCATAAATATTCTATATGTATGGAGATGACCATATCACCATATGTGATTGATTTTTGAAAGATTCAAATGCCCAGGACTATCATACTGACCAATTTCATGCTTAATCGACAGTGAAATTGGCTAGAATATCACATGACATTCAAACCCCAACCGCAATTTTTAATAAGATGCTCAACATATAGGATAAATTCATACTTACAAGTATCAATGGTGAAAAATTTAAATGTCTACACAGCAGTACAACAGTATTGGCCAATTTCATGCTTGAACATCAACAGAGTTGCCTAAAGTCCGACAAGACACTAGAACATTTAGGGTAGATCCTGAACTGTTTCATCACTATTTCATATATAATACATGGTAATTTGGATTTACAGAGAAGGATGCATAAAAGGAAAGCTACCTATGGGTGTCTCTTTGAAAAATCCACAAGCCTTTCTCTAAACACTCGTCTCAAGACCGAGTACCCACTCTCTCCTTTCTCCTTCACAGTTTCCTCAAATGAGGCAATTTGGAGAGTAACATGAAGCTCGGGCAATTTGGAGAGTAACATGTAAACCTCCTACATCATCAAACACAATAACAAATTATAAATTTCAACTTCAAACCCCAACTAAGGAAATGTAAATCTCGTCAATTACAACAAAGCCTGTACCTTTCAGTCATATTCTGGATGCTAGAAGAAATATTAGAAAATGTAGGCGGCGATCCTTTCATTCTAAGCAATTGGATCGAGCTCTCCATGGAATTAAAAAACTCCGCCAACATCTCACACCTAAAGACCCGATAAATCTAAACAGCATAAAGCCTAAATCCTAAAATGTACAAAATTTCCCTTAGAATTGACTAAAAAAGCTTACTTTTCCGGCAACTTGATGGGGGTTTTAGCCCTCAAGGGCTTACGAACTTCTGTCGCTAACTGTTCGGTATCGGATCCCACAAGATCCGATTGATCCGAGGACTGTCTGGTGTTTCTATGGAGTCCTTGAGCGATCTGCTTAACTTCTTTGATCGATAAGGCCATTCTCCGATTGCGGGTTCGAGGGGCACCATGGATCGGCTTCTCCGGCATCGAGATCTGATCGGAGGCGGAAGTCGAGGGTTTTGATTTGATCGGAGATGCGAGAGGGATTGAGGGTTTGCCATCGTTAGTCCTCTTGCTCTTGGATTTGGGTCTAGACTCCATTTTTTTAACCTATCTTTTCCACCAATTTTTTGGTATGAAGAGAATGTAAGAGGAGGGGATCAGGGTGGTGGGGGATGAATGATGGGGTATAAAAAGGGGTATCGAGGGCAAGGGTTCGTTATGGTGGGAAATGATTTTGGCGGGAACACTGAGCTGCCGGCTGGCGTCGTTGTTTCCCAAAATAATGAGACCAATGAAGCAACTCTGAAATCTCACCTGAACGTGATCCGGTCTGACTGCTACCGGACCGGCACTCCGTATTTTGTTATTTACACCCATATTTCAACTACTAGTTGAGATGCACGTATAATGCACGTGGTTGAATATCATAATTATTTAAATTGATAGAAATAAAAAAAATAAAAAAATAAAATAAAGTTTTTTGTGACATTGATCATCAACTCAATAATCTCTCTCACAAATAAAATATTATCATTGTTTCCTTCCGACCAAGATCGTAGCCACATGATCTACTATTTATGAGTTATAAATATATTAATCTAGTATAATATCTCTATTTATTATTATCCTGAAGTCTTCAAAAGATGTATGATCGCAAAGGAATTTTACATATGAATTTACTTGCAATATGTCCATTAAACTTTTAGTTGTGATTTGACTCATATTTATGTTAATTTTTAGTTGTGGTTTTAATCATATTTATATTATCTAATATTCTCATTTAATTTTATATCTCATTCTATGTATCATAGAAGTAAAATTGAGAGTTTGAAGAATTATTTTATTATAAAATTAGAGAAGGGAGATTATAATATACTTCGTTATGTGCTCTAAATATAAAAATTTATTTTTCTTTAATGCAAGACCCCTATCAAATCTTACCTCAAATTAACAACTAATTTATAAACCATACATGAGCAGTGCAAATAGCTATGGAAAGTAAGGTATATATCTTTATGGAAAATTTAATAGTGAGTGACCAACTAAAATCATCCATAAATAATAATTATTTTAGTTACTAATTTGATATGCATAACTATGTGATAAATCTCAAGCAATAAATAAGAATTGAGATTGTATTATCTTATAGGTAAATAAATAAATGTTATTAGAGCTTCTCTTTATATTAAATTTAAAAGTAATAATTTTAATTATTAAGTGCCAAATATTAGCTCATGTGTGAAAGTCAAGTAATCTATGGTCTATATACATATATCGTCAATCAATCTAACGTATTAAAATTATGATGACCACAGTCAAAATTATATGGTGGGTTCATATTAAATATAATTTTTACAAAATAGTATATAAAAGTCAAAATCTTTTTAACCACTATATATATTGTCTGAATTTTTTTGTATATATAAACTATACTGTCTAGGAATAGTAACATGCATACTTAACTATGGTCTAATAATCTTAAGAATAACTTAGTCTTTAATATCAGTATTAATTGACGTATCTATGCATTACATTAAAAACACAATAAAAATTTAGTAAACTACAAAATAAATACCCTCAAAAGTTTTAAAAATTATAAAAAAAATGCCCTAAAATTTTGTAATTTACAAATACACAAAACTATTAAACATTACATTAAAATCAAGGAATTACAAAAAATCATTGAAAAATTTCAAACTTTGGAGGGGTAATTTGCAATGTACTAAACTTTAAGGGGTTTTTTTTATAAATTTTAATTTAATAGATTTTTAATTAGTTTTTTTCTTTTCAAAAAAATTATGGATAATATTGACCATGAAAAGTTTTTCCTAAACCTATACCTTTAAAGGGTGTGTGATATTTTAAAAAAAAAATAATTTTCTAGGGGTTGATACTAATTTTGCATAATCATTTTAGTGTCTATAGGTTAGAAATTCTCATGATGTTTTTTTATAAATTATGAATTTAGAGGCTTTTGTAATTTTTTTAAACTTATAGGTATTTTTTATAAATTATAAATTGTTTATACACTATTTATAATTCATATACTTTTCAATTTACTAATATGTTTGAAATTCTCAGGGTGTCATTTTTTTTAAATATAAAATTTAAGGGTTTGTTTATAATGTTTAAAACTGTAAGGGTGCTTTCCATAAATTATAAATTATGTATGGATATTTATAAATCCTATAGTTTCAATGTACTATTAAGTTAGAAATTATCAGGATTTTTGTAAATTTTACAATTTTGAGGGTTTTATTTTGTAATTTGTAAAAGGTTCAGAGTATTTATTGTAAACTCCATAAAATTTTGGGGGTTGTTTGCATATTTTTAGGTTTCTAGTGTGTTTATAGGTTTAAAATTTTTAAGGTGTTTTTTATAAATTTTGAATTTTTAGGGATGTTTTTGTAATATTCAAAACTTATAAGATATTTGCTCCAAAGTCAAAAAACTTTCACTTTGTAGCTAGCATATGTTTTTCACATTTCTCACTGAATTGAAATAAGTAAAATTTATAATTTTTAAGATGTTTTAATAAGATTTGGATTTGTAGGGGTGTTTTTACAATTTAAAAAACTTAGAAAATATTTTTTTACAAGTCCAAAAACTTTTAGGTGCTAGCTAGCATATATTTTTAGATTTTTCTGTGAACTGAAATAAGTAAATGATTTGAATTATATAAAACATATCTATTTTATCCAATAACATGTTAAATCCTATTATGGATATGATAAATCATTTAGTTACCAATTCAAAAAAGATAGGATAATTAAAATAGATTAGGATAAGAATATAATATTTTAAAAAATTAAGGGTAATATTGACCATAGAAAGATTTTCCCGAACTCGTACTTTTAAAGGGTACTAGTTTTTACACACGTGCAATGCACGTGATTTAATACCATGATTAAGTATTTTTGACAATTTGTGCTCATTTTTTTCTTTAAACTCTTACATCCCAATTATTTTTTATGTTTGTTTAAATGGGATACACCCTATTTAAATTTTCATGTTGATATTTGAACTGACAAAAAACAAATATAATTTAAAAATAATTTAAATTTTCATATTATCTTTGACCGATATGAAACTAAGCTTTATTTGAGAAAGTATAGCATTGCAAAGTGAAAATATTAAAATAATGTTATACAAGGAAGGTGAATATTTAAAACCAATATGGCAAAATGATTGATTTAAAGTATGTTAAAACGATGCAAAAGAGAATATGAAGTTTATTCATAATCATTGATAGACTTCATAAAAAAATATAAATTAAAGATTAATGCTAACTCTAGTATACTTTTATATGATAAAAACATCCACATAACAATATAAAAGTACTGAAATTTTTTTTATGAAACTCCCTTCTAAAGATTCCTAATTTCACTCAAAATAATTAAACTATTCTATAAAATATTCAGAAAATATTATTTTTTATTTCTTTTATTTTATTTTTTATTGAGTTAAGATCAATCATTCTTTAGGTTTATCATTTATCATTTCTTGGGCAATTCTAGAGTATTGTCTTCATCATCTACATCAATTATGACATCAGGCTAATTTTGTATTTTTTATGCTACTATCTTTCCTGGGTTCGTTAATTTTTTATCATCTCATTTAACTTTACAAAGAAGTCAAATGTACTTATGATGTTCAACACAAACTGCTCAAAATATAGACTTTGATTTTTTTTTCTATTTCAATAAGAATAAATATGAATTTCATATATATATATATATATAAAATTCTTTGTGTTCCTAATTTATTACTTAAATAAATTAGAAGCTATCTCTTTATTTTCCTCTAAAATGAATTCTTCTGATATGCATCAAATAAGAATTTTAGTTATTTCAATAATATTACCTTTGCCCTATCCCTGTCATTTTCCATAAAGATCTAAACTAAATACCTGCATATTCATTACCAATTTCTCTTAGATTATAATATTAATATTTAATTTGAAGAATACAGTATGGAATTTATGAATACTTACTAATTTTTCTTATGTCTTCCATGGAGATTTTTTCTTTGATTAGGATAAAGTTATTAAATTATTTTTTAATGTAACTCATTCAGTGCTTCATTAATAGATATGTCTTATGTTAATGCCAATTCAAGTGATTCATTGACGTTTTCTGAATTTTAGATTTATTTCCATCACTTTCCCATTTGCAATGGAAATAACTCAATTCTTTTAAAGTTATCTCTAAATATTCTAATAGTTTCTCCATATGTAATTCCTTGTATTCTTTTACCCTATAAATATTATTAACGTCAAAGATTAAAGTTTCTAAATTAAAATCAATTAATGCTAAGGTATAATATTATAGTGTTTTATCATTTCTATGGATTTAAACATCTATCAATTAATGTTACGAATGTATTTTGGCTACCCCAACTTATTACTAAAATTATATGAAATTACTTTAATTTATATAGTGCCGATAATTTTTAATCTATAATATTTTTAAAAATTTTATCCATTAACCGGATGTTTTTAATCAATTCTTATTGTTTTTGTTTACCAGTATCAACTTAGACTATTCTTAGATGCTGAAAATGGATAGTAAATCCCTAAATTAGAAATTTTAATATATATATATATGAAAAATACCAAACAATTACACTTTTCTTTGCCAAGTTTTAAAATTTTAGCCCATTTTTGTGGTTTTGAACTTTGAGGGTGTGATTTGTAATTTTTAAAATTTTGAAAGAGTTTTTAAAAAAATTTCTTTTAAGTTTGGTATTGTAAATTCTATGTTTCATGTGTTGGTGGTAATTTTTAAATGTTAGTATATTTCTTGTAACTCAAAAATTTTGAGGGTGTCTTTTATAATTATTAAAACTATAAATTAATTTTGAAAAATATTAAATTTTAGCGGTCTACCAATAGACGAATTTGATGTGTGCTAGTTAAAAATTTTGAAAATTTAGAGTTTTTTTTATAATTTTTAAATTTTGAAATAGTTTTTTAAAAATTTTGAGGTTAATTTCGGTAAATTTTAATTTTTTTAGGTGTCTAAGGGTAATATCTTGAATTCATCTTATGTTATTTACAAATTTTAGAATTTTAGGGTAGCTTTTTATAATTTGAACTTTTGAAGGTGTTTCTATAATTTTTGAGATATTGAGGGTTTTAATTAAAAAA